GCCGTATCTCAGAAATCTTCATGCCTTCCCTAAATTTGTTTGAACAGAATTCAAGAGTTACATGGGAAAGATGGGATGAAACCTAGAGACAAGTACACACATGGAGGCAGACCATCACAAAATGTCCTTCAGAAACCAAGTTCAGAGCAGGTGATGAGGGTTTCTCAAGAGTATGGCAGATCAAAACATCCAAGCTTTCTTCTCCATCTGTCCTGGGTTTGATTCCAATCACTATTTTCATTAAAGGCCTGGCTGATGGAATAAAAAAAAACACACATCCAATCTGCAAATGATCCCAAGCCCAGAGGGGCAGAAAGCAATTTGAAGGACAAAGCGTAACAACAGCAGCACACTAATGAGAAGAAGGATACACAGATATCATCAGTGCTGAGAAAAGGATAAAGCTCATTTTGGGATGAACTCTCAACAGCGTCTGCAAGACATGGGAGGAAAATGATGCTCTTCTGATCTGGTGATACCTCTGCAGAGCCCAGCAAGTCAGGCTGGGAAACATGTTTTTTGGAAAGGCTTAAGCAGATGAGAGAGAATCTGGAGAAGTGTGGAAGACGTGTCTTCTAAGGAAAAACCCAAAGAACTGTGTTTCTTTTGGAAATTCCCTGGAGAAAAGAAACAATAAAATCTAACAATATGTAAAGTCTTCTCTGGAGGCAACAGTGAGGTCATGAAACAAAAAATACCCAGGCAGGGAGGTTTGACCAAATATTAAAAAAAGCTACTGAGAACCAAGCACAGCTGAGTCTTTTTGGCAGAGAAGCTGTGGAAGGGTTTTAATCACAGGTTAGGAACATGCCTGCCAGGGATGGACAGGGCATCTCCACAGACAGAAGATGACCCTAACATCTGTTCCTCTCCCCTACCCCTATGTCCTTGGCATCCCACTGGACCATTTTCTGCAACCCACATTTCAGGTTCTGCTTTGCAGCTCACATAAGGAGTTTGCTGCTGTTCTGCCTTGTGTCAAACTCATGTACAGAAAAAAGCAAGTGGCAGCACAGAGCTAAGGGTCTGCAATTCCACTCAGACAGTCAGGAGTTGTCTAAACACAAGAGCAGAAATGGTTTGTGTCATTCTCCAGGCTCTGAAACAATATCTCAAATTAAAAGCCTGCCCCTGGATTTATTTCACACCTCTGATCCAGTATAGCTGGTTCTCATCATCTGTTACCACAGAATCTTGTGTCTTGCTCAACTCTGAAAAATAATGACATGGAAATAGGGCTTTGACATCTTGTTAAAATTGAGTTGCAAGGCCACTCTAAAGTCCCTCAAATAGAAGTTTTAGTATTTGGATAATACCTTGGGGGATTACATACCAAAAGTGCTCCAAAGAAGACTCATCTGGCCTGAGGAACACTTTGTATGAGATGATCTCTCTCCCAACCAAATCTGCACCTTATTATTAATTCCTGAATGAGCAGCAGTTTCAGGAGTTGAGTAACTCAGCAACAGATTGCTCAGCCCTGTGGTCACTTGAGCTGCTGGATAGGAAGAAAGATGAAAGAGGAACACAAGATTCTACTGTTCAGTGACTTTAGGTGCTACTAAAACCAGCAACAGTGACAACCTCTGTCTGAGGGGTCTTAGAAAACCAGCACAAGACAAATCATCAGTGCTATAGGGAACAAGAAAAATCAAGAATCCTTTAAATTTCTAATCATTTGGAAGGCAGGACTGGCATCAGAAATAGCTCACTTGAAGAGCTGGTCCAAAGGCTACAACATGAAAGAGAAGTTATGCATGAAGTGCTGCACTTCAAGAGGAGGAATCCAATACAGAATGGGGAATAACTACCTGGACAGCATCACACAATGCACTCCTAAAGCCTTACTTCAGATTTAGTTTCCATGAATATACATTGCTGAATCACACAGGTGATTTTCATGCCTTTGAACTACAACCTCAGACCTCTCTCTGTCTTTGGAAGTCATTAGTCAAGACGACTCCACACGTGCAAAAGACGTAAACAGAACTGGTTTTCATCACAGTATATTGTTCTTCTTAGATACTGGTGTTCTCTCTTCTTTGCAAAAAAAGCCAATGACACACCTAAGCAATGCTCAGCACTGTCCCACCTTCACATTCTCTTCTCCTGTCCTAGAAGTACTGCTTCCATAAATTCACATCTTGAAAAAGAAAACAAGGGCTGCAGCAGTTACTGCCAGTGGCAACGATCCGAGTGCTGGAGCTGCTCTGCTGTGAGGACAGGCTGAGAGAGTTGGGGTTGTTCAGCCTGGAGAAGAGAAGGCTCCGGGGAGACCTTATTGTGGCCTTTCAATACTTCAAGGGGACCCATAAGAAAGATGGGGATAGATTTTTTAGCAGGGCCTGTAGCGATAGGACAAGGGGAAATGGTTTTAAACTAAAAGAGGGGAGATTTAGACTAGATGTAAGGAAGAAATTTTTTATAATGAGGGTGGTGAAACCCTGGCCCAGGTTGCCCAGAGAGGTGGTAGAAGCCCCATCCCTGGAAACATTCCAGGTCAGGTTGGACGGGGCTCTGAGCAACCTGATCTGGTTGAAGATGTCCCTGTCACTGCAGGGGGTTGGACTAGATGGCCTGGAAAGGTCCCTTCCAACCCAAACTACTCTGTGGTTCTTTGATTCTCTGATTGCTCAAGAGCAGCAAATGCACTCAGTTCACCAAGACAGAGATGTTTCTCTTTATCTCTTGCTAGATTAGATCTCTCAACAAAGGGAAAACATTTGGGTGACTATAAACATAATTTTGTGATAATCTGCTGAACATCTGTTACTGGATGATTCACAGGGTCATTCCAGCCTCCTCCATTCCCTTGCGCTTCATCTCATACGGGCTCTTCTCAGTGCCATTTTGCACAAAGACTTGGCATCAAAGGTGGCACCTGGTTCTGCAATTCAAAATGTGCCTCTAGAGCGGGTGATTCATGCTTCAGACAGCTTGTCTTGGCTTCTCAGCCCTTAGGAAGAAAGCTCCACCCCAGAGAGTAGCCAGGAATACCAGCACTTCGAGGGGAGCAGAGAGATTGCCCCAAAGCCATACCCCATATTTTATTCTCAGTCCTGCAGAGCTGAAGATTTTCCTGGTCATAGAACCATAGAATGGTTTGGGTTGGAAGGGACCTCAAAGTTCATCCAGTTCCAACCCCCCTGCCAGCAGCAGGGACACCTTCCACTAGACCAGGTTGCTCAAAGCCTCATCCAGCCTGGCCTTCAACACTCCCAGGGAGGAGCAGCCACAGCTTCTCTGGACAACCTGGGACACTGGCTCACCACCCTCACACCAAACAATTTCTTCCTCACATCTCAGCTCCAGCTCCCCTCTGCCACTTTCAAGCCATCACCCCTTGTTCTCTCACTCCCTGCCCTTGGCCAAAGTCCCTCCCCAGCTTTCTTGTAGCCCCTTCAGGTACTGGGAGGCCGCTAGAAGGTCCCCCTGGAGCCTTCTCTTCTCCAGGCTGAACAGCCCCAACTTTGACTTCTGTCAGACTCTCAACTCCAGACTTCTGTCCCTTGCACTGCTGTATCTTTTCTCATCCTGTCCATAATTGAGAGTCCAGGGACCCCCATCCTTTTATGTCTTCCAGCTCCCCTGGTAGCCCACCTGTGACTGAGGCTCCCTCAGCAGCAGAGAAAAAGGATCTCCAGATCCACTAATGCAACCATTCTCTGTCCTCTCCAAAGCCACAGCGGGGAAATCAGACTGGAGTCATTCCACAGGTCCTGGGAATGTTTGGTGGGACCTCACTGATCACAGAGGAAAGGCCCTGACCTCAATCAGTTCATAATCTCTGTTGAGAATCTGCCTGGGGTTGCTTCCATGTACCAAGATTGTTATCAAATGATTCAAAAAACACATTGTGAAAGCCCGGCCGTGCAGAATCAGCCAAGGTTTGGCCACTGGGTCAGGAAGGGGCAGGGTTTCATGCACTGATTCTCCCAGGTTGCTCCTCTAGTTGGTCTGACTACTGGGGAGTCTAAAAGAAACCCCAAACCATCAACAATCATAACATCTCTAACACCAACAACAACAACCCTCCTTCAGCTTTCCTGTTTATTGCCGGGATTTCAACCCAGATCAAAGCTGCTGGTGACTTTCCCTTCATGCAGACTATGAACGCAGAATCGCTTTCATCCAAACCACAGCACCGTCCTCAGCCTTCCCAGGAGGGTTTCTTGTAAGCAACTCCCACTGCATCTGCTTCCCAGAAAGTTGGCTGGATCCTCTGCAGACACTGTCCATGTCCCCACTGCTGAGAGCTCAGCCAGAATCTCGCTTGCACTCTGCAGGACACGGCGCCCAGTCCCAGGGGAGTGCCATCGTTAGCAGAAATCAGCCTTGGTGAAGAAGAAAAACCAAGAGAAGGCACCAGATACCTCCAGGGATGTCAGAGCAGCTCTCACCCAGATCCATGTGACTTCCCCACTGTGCTGCAATGAGTAGGGAATGGAGCCACCTGAGTGTCCCCTGCAGCCAGGGGGAGAAAGAGGGATCTCTGGAAGAGATTCAGCCCATGTAAGAATGATGGATGTGCAGAACAGCCCATGTAAGAATGATGGATGTGCAGAAGAACCCACCTCTCTCCACTAACTGCTGAGAGGGATGGGGCTGAAGACCTGAATGAAGCTCTTCTCAGTGATGCCCAATGGTAGGACAAGGGGCAATGGGTGTGAGCTGGAACACAGGAGGTTCTGCTTAAACTTCAGAAGAAACTTCTTTACAGTGAGGGTGACAGAGCCCTGGGACAGGCTGCCCAGGGAGGGTGTGGAGTCTCCTTCTCTGGAGACATTCAAGACCCACCTGGATGCCTTCCTGTGTGATCTCATTTAGGTTCCTGCTCTGGCAGGGGGTTGGACTGGATGATCTTTTGAGGTCCCTTCCAGTCCCTGACATTCTGTGATTCTGTGAAGCTGAATCAGGACTTACACTGCTCAGGAACTGCTCAGACCCTCTTGAAGGATCACTCCATCCTGCCTTTACTACCAGACTACTCCATGTGTCCCGTCTTTAAGTGTTGCTGATCCTTCACCATCACGTATTATTTATGGAGTTCTGTGGCCGCCTGTGAGACTTCCCATGTAATTAAGCCAGTCTCCAGGCCCTGAAGGCACCATCATTGTAAATTCTTCCTCTAACACTGTCCCACTCCGGTGGATCTGGGTCTGCCCACACCTGTCTGTCACACTTTCCACCAAAGCTGGGACCAATTACTGCTCCTTTCCAGATGAAGTACTTCTAAGGACAGGAGATCTGATGTGCCACCCAGAACATTGATTTCCTGTGCAGCATGTAGTGCATCTCCTCAGTCCGTGCAGGACCTAGCACTGAGGGGTACAAACAGGACCCTCTTTTCATGATGCAGGCTACAGTGCCTACTGTTTGTCCCTCCTCACTCCAGAGCCCAACCTGTGACATCCACTGCTGCTGGTCTTCTGCCCTGGTCCCCCCACGCTCTTGGGCATTCATCACACAGTCACTGTGCCCACCAACATCACCACCACCATCACCATCATCCATCACGCAGTCACCGTGCCCACCATCATCACCACCATCATCATCATCCATCACATAGTCACTGTGCCCACCATCATCATCATCATCCATCACATAGTCACTGTGCCCACCATCATAACCACCACCATCACCATCATCCATCACACAGTCACTGTGCCCACCATCATCATCACCATCATTCATCATGCTGTCACTGTGGCCACCAACACCACCATCTCAGCTGCAAGGCAGTTTGGGCAGCTGGTGTGTACCAATTTATACCAACAATGTCAGGTGACAGCAGAAGGCTTCATTCCCAGTCCCATGCCTTTGTAGAGGCATAAATGGACCATAAAGACCCCTAAATAAGAAACAAAGGACTCTTCCTAAGCAACCTGATGTTGGTACGCCTTCCTTAAGAGTTTAGGAAGAACAAGTGAGTAAGTTCTGAGTGAAGGAGTAAAGTACCACCAATATCTTCATAGTTTTCTGGTTCCTACTAGAGCTCTAAAGCACTCAGATCTGAGGCACCTCACCTTTCAGTTGATCGGCCACCTCGGTGTAGGACCGCAGCACTGCCAGGGACACTGCCTCCCCTGAAACACAGGAGAGACACAGCCCTGAGGGACATATCTCAGTACAAGAAAGACATGGACCTGTTGGAGCCAGTCCAGAGGAGGTCACCAAAATTATCAGAAGGATGGAATAGCTCTGCCTTGAGGAAAGGCTGAGAGAGTTGGGGTTGTTCAGCCTGGAGAAGAGAAGGCTCCGGGGAGACATTATTGCACCTTTCAATACTTAAAGGGGGGCCCATAAGAAAGATGGGGACAGACTTTTCAGCAGGGCCTGTAGCGATAGGACAGGGGGAAATGGTTTTAAACTACAAGAGGGGAGATCCAGACTGGATGTAAGGAAGGAATTGTTGACAATGAGGGTGGTGAAACCCTGGCCCAGGCTGCCCAGAGAGGTGGTAGAAGCCCCATCCCTGGAAACATTCCAGGTCAGGTTGGACGGGGCTCTGAGCAACCTGATCTGGTTGAAGATGTCTCTGCTCACTGCAGGGGGTTGGACTAGATGGCCTGGAAAGGTCCCTCCCAACCCGAACCAGTCTGTGATTCTATGCTATAGCTGACAGACCAGCCCCATCTCGCTCTCTGACAATGCCACGTTACGATTCTCTGCCTTCCAAGGTGCTTCAAGCTCTAAAAGTCTTGAAAGAAATAAGGAAAATCGGACTTTATGTTTCCATGCAGCAGTCAGGTTGTCTAGGTCATCCCATGAGCACGTGCTACCACAGCTTCCCCTCTTGTCCTACATTCGGTCCCTGTAGAATGAAGGTTAAAAACCCATGAACATTGATATCTTCTCTACTGAGAGATACTGTACCAGTATCACACAGTATCAGTCAACGGGCAGCACTGCTTTAATCTGATTGCCAGTGGTGGGTGGAGGCACATGGGGCAGGATGCGGCACTTACTTATCGTTTCAACTTGTCTGCAGGATCACCATGGTATGGAAAGCGTGGTGAGCAGTGCAAGCTTAGAGAAAGGACTGCAGGCCACATTTCACAGAATGATAAAATGGTGGGGTTGGA